ATCATGCGAGACAACTTGTGATAGCGCAAAAGGATGCATATGTATTTTGAGAATACCAATACCTGAAGCGCAAGACCGGCAAGCAGAATTTTCATGGCAATGTCGCTGAGTGGGCCGACCCAGCTGTTGGCGCTCGCCATGGAAGATCCCGAAGACTGGACGAAGAGGCATATGATGTCGAATGTCACATATATTCGCGTTAGTAGACTTGCTGGGATCTTGAAAATTCTGTGCCTCGAAGGAGGTAGTACCGCGCGGATCAGTTGGCCGATTAGGAGGTAATTGCCAGCAGCGACGAAAAGGGGGGCCAGGAGGATCAGAGAAGTGCTTGTCGCGAACACACCCTAAATGGTAAACCTGTCAGTTTCAGTTCCCGTCATGAGATGCCACCGAGCCGCAAAGAGTTCTAAGGCCAACTCACGATATTTTGGTGGTCTTGCGTTGAATAGCATCTCATCGCATAGCCAACCATCTCTAAAAAGGCACCAATCGGAACACAAATAAAATAACATGACCTGTACTTGAATGCCGTAAGGTACGTAACCCAAACAAAGACGGCTGTGTACACAATCGTTCCCACGATAGCCAGCGCAAGCGACGGCTCATACAGCCACACGCTCCATTCTTCCGCGGCGTCGGCCATGTTCAGAGAAGTTCCTGGCTCTTTTCAAAAACTACACTGAGTCTGAATATTATTTGAGGTATGATTGAATAACGCGCGATAAAAGTTTAAATGAAAGCCGAATTGTGCCTGACACAATTTAACATGAGGAATGCCTTTAGGACTTAGTAGTCTAGAGTCATACAGCTATCTATTTTGTTCGGTACCAGGGAGTAAGCGTCCTGGTCTTGGCTTTCGTTCTCCCACACGTGCGATCTTGTGTTGCCAAGGGATCAGGCACTCCCAAAGTACAGCACGTCTGCGGCGCACCACACACTCGACACCAGCAATAACAATTCTCTGAGTCCATCTCTGAGTTAAACAGGGTTTTATCTATAGTGGATGTTCTTGACTGTCCTATGGCAACTCACTTTACTAGGTAGAAATCCACAGGTCTCAGTTCGCATCGTAAGCCCCTTTAGAGTTGCGCATGCGACTTACGCTGGTGAGCGGAAGCTGAATAAATTGAGCACGACTGTCTTTGCCACATTTAAATACGAGTCTGCTGATCACTCATTGAATATGGTCTCTTACTTAAGTTCATAAGCACTTTCTGACGCCCGAGTTGCTAGATGACCATGCATGAGAGCGGCGTGGGTGGTCATCGCTGCCTGTGGGAGGCCCAGATATTCGCGGCTATGAGTGAATCTGCGATGCCCTGCTACGCCTCATCCTTGACCATGGCCAGCTGCTTAAGCGAATGCGATTCGATTCCATCTTTGTACCTTGATGCCCTTAACACATACCCTGGTCTCGTACCAATAATGAATCACGTTAACCATGCGTAAGACCTGGTTACGCCTCCAGAAGGCGACCTCCAAGTTGCCGCGCAATCTTGTCAGGGCCCACCGTATATGCTCTCTTGCTCTCCTGGTGAACCGATGGGCATGTCATCGTGAGGGTTTTCGGCTCGTCCAGTGTGGCCAATAGTACATCAACCTTGATATCTTCGACCGTGTTCCGGCTGACCTCAATCATCATGCGGAAACCAGCCACAGGCTGAACTGCGCCACCGTCATATTATTCGAATTCTATGGCTCCATGCCTCATAGGTGCACTCGTCCCATCTGACGTTCAACAATTTCGTATGGCAAACCAAGTACTGGTATTGAGTTTCATTCAATACTCTGCTTTCATGAATGTTTGCGTGTCGATTTTTAATCTCTTGAAGAGGCATCGTGATGGAAAGATGAAAGAATTTGTGCATCGATTCGGAAGGATTTTCATCCACCACCATTGCGCAGACCAAGATCACCACTTCCAATAGCTAACCAGCCACACAAACCTTAAAGTCACCCTTAATGCTCGAGCCCGCAACGCTTTTTATCGGAGATGTGCCTGATTGTTGATAAATATGTGCTCAATGATCATTCGATGAGATCCAACATTTCTTTCCTTATCAATCTCACCCAGGGCCCTTTAAACAGAAGTCCACATCTCACCACACCACATCCGCTGGACCTGCTCTTCGACATGACTTCCCTTTCTCTACCTGCAAGTATCAGCAAGGGTGAGGAACCTTTATTCGAAATGGTATGGACTATCAAGGTCCTCATGGACAAGATATCACGACATGAGGAAGAGGAAATCAGTGAACGAAAAGTCGACAGAGAACAAATGCCAGCGAAGAGGTCCCGCGATCTTGAATACGACATTCACACAGAGGAGAGGACAGCGAAACGTGTCAAAGTATCCGACATGCAGGACAGGATTGGCGACGAATATGCCTGTAGAGCCAGCCCAGAAACGATGGTTCTGGACAGCCGCATCAGTGGCAATTCTTCGGAGTACCTCATGGCCGCATGCCGAAGCTGGCATACCGTCTATCAAATATCGAAGGGACGCGAAATTATAACGGCAGATCCGACATCGAGACATCTAGCAGCACCCATCGGATCATGCATATGTGGTGCTTCACTCGAGACCAAGCCAACGGCGCAACGCAAACCAAAGAACCACGTAACGTCATGCATCCCGCAGGTAGTAATCAGGTCACGAATATAAGATGTTTAAGTAATTAACGACGTGCTCAGAAGTATACTTCCTCCTTTCGATGAGATACAGCACTTTTGTTTCAGACTTCAAGAACGAAAGTGGTATCCCGAGCGTCCTTGCTACAATGCCGCTTAACCGCACCATCGCTTTTAGGTCTGCGCTTCGATGAATTCATGAATGCATGCGACTGTATCACAGCGCTCTCGGAGGGGGACTTGCCCTGACATTAGGGGTTGTTTGGCGACGAGCGCATCCATGTTCGTCAGTCCTTGTGTTGGGTTCGTCAACCCTTACGGTCATTTTCCTGCTTCAGAACGGGAGGGCCATCAGGCCTCTCAGCTCTTGTGACTAGCTTAACAAGCTGGATGATTCCAGTTCACTGGCCAACTTCACTTTCACTGTAAGTGCACTCTGCTATCTTCTTGCTTTTCAATCGATGATGAGAGAGGGATCTAATACGTTATGGTGTTGTTTAGCCAATATGTAGAGCCCGAAATTGGCATTGATCGATGAAATAATTGGCGCGATGCCGTTGTCAGAACCGGTACTTCGCGTTTCCTGAGCCGGTTCGCGAAACCAAGATGCGTGACTCGGCATAACAACTGGGCCTACTTCTTCAGGCGGGGTAAATTTCTTTCCGAGATAAATGACCTCTCGCGGGGTACTTGCATCGGCGGTTGTGTATGGTTTTCGCGATGAGACGCGTTGGACAGTTATTACCGCAGGCCACTATCTCCATGCCGTCTGGCGCATCCCCGGAACTGCGTATGTGCGGCGCGAATCGCTATGCACGCAGACTTTTCATATTTCTGGTTACGGCTTTCAAATAAACTTCGTTCTTTTCAAGCGGCAATCCGCCCTCTGTGTTCATTCCGCCCTCTCTGCGGCTTACTTCCATCCCCACCACGCACGGCGATGGACCGTGGCCAAGCTTTCCTACGCCGCCTTTCCCTCTGGCCCAATCGTCAGTGGCCGGCGGAAGTGCTAACCTCAAGTAGATAGCCTTACTCCGCTACCACGCAGTCACTCGTTCGCTTTCAGTGGTTAATCTTGGATCTCACAAGCTCGTTCATGGGCCCTTCATCTATGCCCCAGCCGCTGTTGGAAGAGACTAGGGGAGCCGTCAAGGGACGAGGATAAGCATCCGTAGCTTGGGGGCTTTCGTCTACCCTTTCTCTCAAACCCAGAGAGTTCCAACTCCTGAATCGCCTTCGTATCGACGCATTTACAGGCTGCAGCGCGGCGGCCTTTCCATGCCCCTGGTCGTCAAGGGTCTTATTCCAATGAAGACGGTTCGCTTCCTTACCTCCGTAAGCAGCAACGCGCAATTGCCGCCGCTGATCAGGCCATGGGTACTGCGCCCGATAACCGTTGGCTGCGTCGCGCTCGCTAGGTCAGACCATGTGTTGGGTCTGTCGTCGTCCGTGACACCGAAGGGAAAGTCGCCTCCAATTATGTTTGCCCAGACTGCCTCGCGGGCAAAGTTGTAGTTTCCGCAAGGATGTCTCTTTCCTCTCCGGGCCCCATGCAGAGCCATGCGGCCCCGGCCCGGCCTAGCCAACGCGAGCTTGGAGCAGCCCTAGATTGCGAGGAATGATCTACGCCAACCAGAGTTCAGGTCTAGTCGTACGTCCTCCCGGGCTAAAATTTATTTCTCACGATGTATGCATTCATTGCAACATCTCACCTTTCACAGCTCCTGCAAAGTGACGTGACTCCATCTCGGGCTTGAAAAGATGAATCAGCCCATACGACGGGCGGATAGACAGGCTCAATGCAGTGAGGCGGCGTTGAACGTGAATGGTTCCAAGGATCTCGCATGCACTCCTGCCCGACACAACACCACCTACCTACGTTGGTATTCAATGAGATAGTAGTGGGGCCTGCAGGTCGACGACTTCGTACGATGTTTCTGCCGAAAGCTCGCATATTGCTTGGTTTGATATTGAAAATCAAGAGCTGACATGCGGTTGGCCCAATAGTTCCACGCTGTGTCACTTTCTCCTCATTCCATTGACGACTAGCAATCGCAGGTTCATGCGTCAAAGTGGACTCCAATATACCAAGCTAGGCGCGATGGATAAGACTGCATAAAAGAGAAACATCAGCTGTCGGCAAATGTAATGATACAAAATGAATGTGGAGGAAATTGAGTGTTTAGCAGCTTGGGTCCCCATGGGTACCTAGGTGAAGCCCAGCCTCGCATCGTTTTCTTCGACGCTGCTAGGTCTACAATCGGCCACGAAGCATCTTCAGCCATAAACCGTTTTTGACAGCTCTAAGGACACTGCACGAGCGTCCATCACGAGAAGAACCCCAGAAACTCAAGATCATGACCGACACTATGGCCAATACGAACATACCCGTGCCGGTGGGGTCCGCCGCCGACAACGATGAGGCTGTGAGCCCGGAAGCAGCAGGACCTACAGGCGACAATATCAGCCACGGCGCGTCAGTCTTGCGCAAATTCATTGAAGACTTGGAAAGGTCTGAAGAAGGTGCAAGGGAAGTAGGAATGTTTCGCTATTGGATTGACTCGATGGTAGATGACGGCATTCAGGAGGGTTTGGACATGAAAGACCGCCATGGTCGGACGCTACTTAATGTTGCAGCTATACAAGGCCTCGCGGAAACTGCGAAGAGACTCATCGAAGCTGGAGCAGTTTTGGACGTTCAAGATGAATGGGGTGATACACCGCTCATCGACGCATGTGGAGAAGGTGATGGAGAAGGTAACTACTTCAAGGTCGTCAAGCTTCTTCTCGAAAAAGGGGCTACGGCCGATATCTTCGGCAACGAAAATGAATCAGCTCTGTACAGAGCATCCATAAATGGACATCATCGCATTGTTCAATATCTCTTGGCCGAGGTCGAATGGAACCTCGACGTTGGAGAAGAGACGTCCGACATGACGCCGCTCCATGCTGCTGCTGTGTCAGACAACAGCGAAATTGTGCGATATCTGAGAGACAAAGGCGCGAAGCTTGACCGCTGTGATACAGACGGATGGACGCCACTCATGACAGCAATCGACTCGCAAAGCAAAGATGCTTTGAAAGAATTACTTCAGAGGCGAAATGACGAAGACATTCAGCTGGAAAAAGCAGATTCAGAAGGGCGAACGCCCATCTTGAGAGCAGCTGAGAAGGGCTTTTGGGATGGCTTTCGTCTCTTGATGGAAGCCGGCGCCGGGTGGACTGAGGCTCAGTCCGAGACTACTGAAGCTACCGAGCGGAATTCAGCATCGGCCATGTCGAGTAAGTAAACATGAAGATATTCACCGAGTTCCTCCCAAGTAGAGGAAGATATGAGCAACTTACATTTGCCCGACGTACAGAGAAGGACGCTGCCTTGCACCTTGCCATTTCGGACAACCAATATGAAGTTGTTCAATTTCTTTTGGAACACGGCGCGAATGTTAACTCTCGCGGGCAGCATGGGCGACAACCTCTTCACCTGGCAAGTCGACAAGGTAACAAGACCATTCTTAGGCTACTTTTAGACACTGGTGAATGCGATCATCTCAATATTAGCGATAGTGGCGGTAGGACGCCGTTGCAACTTGCTTGCACAGCTGATGATGACGATGGGCATTACAACGAGGCGGTTCAACTCCTATTGGATCACTATCCGAGGCCTCATACGGAGGAGGCGACAGATGAAATGAAAGTGGCCGTAGATCTGGCATTTGAGTGTGGTCACGGTCAAATAGGGAGGACAATACTCGACGCCTTCGCTCAAACTAGCTCCCGGATTTCCGACACTATTATCTGGGCAGCTGGCAAGACAGAAAGGCATAGTGTTGCAGCGGCTCTTCTCAGGCGACAGCTAAAAAGCTCTATGGGTCCCTATTCTAAGAGGTCGGAAGGCTGGAGTGCAATTGAATTGGCGGCCTACGCAAGAGATCCCCGCGTACTCTGGCTCCTGATTGCCAGCTCTCCACAAAGCAAGGAGACCAAGGAGGCTCTCAAGTCGGCAAAGGATATAGTCTCTGATTCCAAGTTCAAAAGGCATGGTCAGGTCGATGACACAAAGAAGCGCAACAAACAAGGAAGTACTTCTGGCCAGGAAGTACAAGACATCATCAACAACCCACCTACCGGTTTGATTTTCACGGACAGCCGAAATTATAGTCTGCCGAGACATGACGACAACCCTTCTTCTTTGGAGAACTACGAAGCTACGATTGTACAGTTTTTTAAGAGGGGGGACAAGTTTGACAGTATCATACGATCCCAGAGTGTCAAGGAGACCATATACAGCCAGGGACCAACGGATATCATGACCGACGTGGTAGATAAGTTGAAAGACCTCTCGACCTCTCACATGGGGAAGTGGGAAGGAAGTAGTCTTATTCAACGACCAAATTCTACGGGCCCAAAACCAATGCCAGAGTTCACGTGGATTCACTTGCCTGCAACCAACGTAAGTGTCCGCCATTGGCCGTCTGGGTAGCGAGTTTTCAGACTGATTGCGTAACTACAGATGGTCTGGATGGATGTACGTGCTTTGATGCCCTTGAGTTTTCATTAACAATTGACGATCTTGCAGCACTTACTACAGAGGATTATGAAAGACGAAAGGCAGCATGTAGGTCACTTCAACCAGGCCAAGTCTTTTTTCAGGGACAGCTGGATCGAAGTACCAGACAAGCTTTCCGTAGCGAGAATGATGAGGCCTCGGTTTGTCACTCGTGACAAGAAAGAAACCGTGATCCAAGGGGGAGAAGAAAACACAGGGCCGGAGAGAAATTCTGATTCCGAGACAATATCTATGGATGGAGGGGACAGGGAGAATGCAAAAAAGGAAGAACGAGCGGAAGGAAAAGACTCTTGCGAGCAGATGGGACTGCAGCATGAAGAGCCTACAGTTACAGCTATCTACGTGAGTACATACCTTTTTTCCAAGAACCTTATGCCGCAGTCTTACATGCATTGAAAGATGCCATATCTATCGTATGCCTTCCAATATGGCGGTGGGATCAACGATAAAGAAAACGACGAAGTCAATCCCATGTCTTTCGAAACCGAGGAGCAACCGGAGAATAGGCTAGCAACAACAGAAGAACTGACAACACATTGTACGGCGGGGGACGTCATCGGCTTGGAAACCAAGAAGGATTACGAACACGAATACGACGAGGAGTCCAACTATGCGAAAAGGCTCTTGAAGACGCAAGATACGTACCAAGTCTTATTGGATGAGTAAAAGGGAAAGATTATCCATGGATCTTCAACCCTTGATGAGTCGTACTACCATTTCGGGGATGACCCTGGATCTATCGAAGACAGGATGAGGCGCAACAAGACCCAGGTAGTGACCGAAATCTGGCGAAAGAAAAGGCTTGGTTCATACTGGCTCTTGATACGAGTCAATCAGCTATGGATTTGGACCATCAACAACAGTGCGCTCATTCTATAAACATGTTCCAGGATGTCACTGATTGCAGGGCTCACAGGATGGCTGATATCCGCATCTTCCCATCCAATCGACGATGGCGAAAACGAGCTTCTCAACGATGTACTCGACCTTCTTGAGAAGGACCGAGAAGCTGGCGGGAGTATCTTGCAGCAGGCCTCTACTGCCGAGATGAGCCAGCTGATTGTTGACTTCTGCGTCGACTCTTACGAGCGAAAGCCCAAAGTACACGACAGCAACAGACCGGAAGCCTGTCGATTGAAAGATTTTCCGTCCATCCGTCAAGCATTTTCCAAGTCCATCAATTCCATTGTCTGTCGATCCTTCCTCAAAACAACTCCGAGCTAATATGCCATCAGGCAAGAGACGAAACGAATCTGTTTGACCAGTTCAGTAGACTGAGGGAGCAGTTAAGGGAGATTTCGGGTCAGAGCACCAGCAAGTACAGCAAGCCCGAAAGAAAGACCTTACTAGATAAGGAGCTCGCGGAGGCCACTTCAAGGGCAGAAGATCTCTCGTGCAGGGTCAAGGACATTCTAGATGAACTAAGCATTCTTGAGTCAACTGTTCAGTATCAACAGGATGTTCAGAAGGCAATGAGAAAGAAAGGCACCAAGAAAGAGAAGGAAAAGCGTGAGACTGCGGAGATGGATCTTACCGCAACTTATGTTATCAATGACATCAAGAGGTTGAACAGTGTGGCGGAAAGGGTTCTTGCGGCAGTAAGTCCTCTGGAATCTTCGATTGATTGCTTTTTAACGCACAGTCTAAAGGTCAACACCACATTGTCCCTTCACCAAAGCGAAGTAGCAAACTTGCAAGCAAAGCTCTCAGTCGAGCATGCAGAACTCGCAACGAAACAAGGCAGAGTACTCATGGTCTTTACTGTGGTCACCATCCTCTTTGTGAGTTATTCTTGCCGTCTCGTCCCAGTTCTCGCTCATCCTGATTGAATTAATCTAGTTACCGATGTCCTTCCTGACATCTCTCTTCGCTCTGGATGTCGCCTCGTTTGAGCAAGCCCCAGCTTGGGCATTAATCGTTATTTGTATGTCTCCGGTCGATTTGTAAGCCCAACATCTGCTAATTACCACCATTTAGTCTCGGTATCTATTGGACTTTTCATTCCCGCGGTTTTGTTTGCGTTCGCCTGGGATCAAAGCAAACAGGTTACATCCAAACTTCTTTCCAAACTTCTTGGACCTGCCATAAAAGTTGTAATGACATTCATTTGCTATCTTCTGGAGTCTGCCGAGGCCTCGAAGCGTATTCAACGTAACGATGGTGGGTCCAAACTAGATCCGGGTCGTTCCATGGCTCCTTTACAGCGAACAAATCAACAATCCACCAGCGATGCTGGTTCTCTACGGGCTAGAAAGCCATTACAGGATATGTTTGACAGTGGCAGGGTGGACTTAGAGAAGGGCGTTGGCGAGGGCAGTAGTCGAGGTCGTGGGCTGATCGAATCATAGCCTGATTTCACAATCAAGCAAGCATCAGACTGGGGAATGAAAGGTGCCCTGCAGAATACCGAATGAACTCCGTTTTGCTTTCGGGTCGGTAACAATGCCTCTCAGTAGAGTGTGGGAATGGCTATTCGCAATTGAAAGTTGACTTCGTTTGTCGTCCTGATTCTCTAGATTAAAAGTGCTGATGGTAGTCCCGCCTGCCACAAGATGACATGTTGTCCATCTTTCTAAGATAACCAGTCCCTGTTCCGCTCAGCTGTCGATCTTACTCAGCATGAGTCGGAACGAAACCACTTGCACCGCCTTTAGTGAGGCATATCCTGTTCATAGGTGAAAGACCGCCGACCACATTTCCTGAGTACTGAAATACAGGAGCAAAGGTCAACTCTGAACACGTGGGCTAGTGATGATAACTAGAATCGCGGGACATTGGGCCTCTGGTTCCCAACATCTACCTAGTAGATTTAAGTAGGTTCATGCACAAACATTAACCGTCCATGCATATTGGGAGATACTGCGGGAATTGACGTCAAGGTCGTTCCTAGATCTCTCGGGAGCAGTTGTGCAGTCTCTCAGTGTTACATGTTCCTCATCACAAGGAAGACTCCAACAGGTCATATCTAGGGCGCAAAATAGCCCCCAAGCCCCGCTCTAGACACACCTATCAGATTGACACCTTAGTGCCCACCGCTGCCTGCTCAACTCATGAGACCTTCGCATCCCATCGGGTGAGGTTCACTTCCAGAGATCCCACGTTCACAGTTCAAAAGCCCTTAACACATAAATGTTAGCAAAACAGACCTTGGTGGAAGTGCTATCCGACTTAAAGAATAGTACCGCAATATATGACATAGGTATGCATATTTATGAAATAGAGAACCTGCTCTCGTAACTATTGGGCATGCTGTTGGTAAAAAGTCTCATCGAGACTTTCGAAAGATTTGACCAATTTTGAATCTGTCTTTCAATATGGCAAGTATGCTTCCATCCTTACCTTATGGTCTAGGGTAAAACTTGAAGTAAAGTTAGCGATTATTTCTACGCGTTGAGACCTTGTGCCTAGAATGCTATTGTTATTATTAATCATACTCTTTAACGCTTAAGTAAACTTTAGATTATGAGCCCTTGATACGTTTTACCGGAATGGAGAGAAGTAGGCTCCGATTGTAAGGGGCTGACCCCTAGGCTTGTTCAACGTAGAGGTGCCGTCGATTGACTATTCTAAGCTGAAGAAGGAAGAAAGGACTTTACAGGGATAGGCGCCTAGCAGCGGTGAAGCACACCGGGGTTAGGCGGTGTGCTACGGCGGAATGGTGGATCCGGCGGAGCCGGTTCTCGGTAGCTGCTCCGGCAAAGCCGGAGATCTCGGCCGGGCTCTAGCCCGTGACACCGATATAAGAAATTAGTAATTCTCGATATTTAATGCTTCGAACAATTGGATGGTACGTATACTAATCCCTTTACTCCTCGTCCTGTCTCACTTCCTCCTGATCCTCCAATAATTTCTGGCTAAGCAACCTCACAGGATGTGTCGATGCAAGAGCCGGTCTCCTTGTGCTTTCGTGTGAGGCCTCCTTTGCCTCAAAGTAGAGACTATCAGTTTACTCACCATTTAGCACGAGCTTTGTGTCCCATTCAGCTAAATGTTACGGTCAGCTATCCGACAGTAGGGTCTGCTAACAGAAGTTGGGGATTGACGTTTAAACAGTACACTGGGGTCGTGGTCGTAGGTCGTAGGTCGTAGGCTGTAGTAGATCAAGTCTTCAGAGGCTAAGGTGATCAGT